AATCGCACATCTGAAACTATCAAGCACATCACTTCCGTGTCTAGTTTTCCCATTATAAAACAACCTATTCACGGCCAAAATTAAAGGTTTTCGTGAGAGCGCTCAACAAGCAGCCGGGGCCAGCCTAACCTCTCGACCCGCCACACCAGATAGCATGTCCAAGTCGTCTATATCCGGTGAAACCGATTAATCGATGAGGTTTCATTAAATTTTCTAGTCTTAATGTCTCTTTTACTGTGTAAATGTTACCTATTTAGAAAATGACCTAGATAAGCAGATTTACTCATCCACTATCACGAACGACTGGATTACTGTAATAAAACTACAATCTACTATGATAAAATTTGATTGGATTATGTAGATTTTGTACCTAGTTGTAAAATATAATTTTATACGTGGTAGAGCCATGCTACAGCTATATCAGTAGTAAAGTTGTAGCAAGTATGTGTCGGCTCGACCGGGAACCACGCTCTCACAGAATACTAGCGTAAAATAGCAGCTTACCACTGGTGTGTTTCGTATGGTAAATGTAGAGAACCGGAAGCCATTTTTACTGGAAACGAGGCATTCTATCTTAGTCCTCACGGGTGACAACGCATCTGCATTTTGATTTGTTGTTGACGATGTATGTAGATGTCTATGGGTCACAGCGGCCATTTACCATCTGGTGGACTGTGTGCTAGTTTGTCACCTTTATCCTATAAAATAAATATGTATGAGAATTTTATTACGGTCAAAATTTTAAAATTCTGGAAATAAAACCATTTTTAAACAGGTTTGTGTAAAATTATTTTTCATTCTAGAATTATGCCAACAAATCTCTACATGAACCATCCATTACTCAAAAAAAATCACAATATAAATGCACAGCTTAGGATTATATTATATATATATATATATATATATATATATATATATATATATATATATATATATATATATATATATATATATATATATATATATATATATATATATACTAGCTCGCTATATATATACAGGCTGTGTAGGATGGCTTATTCTATAAAATAACAATGTCTTCGATTCTTGTCGCCATTTTTTTTTAATACTAGCAATGCTATTAACATTATAAATGTCCAAGTAACCTTAAAATTATTGTTTTGGGAGCGGTACACAACCGTAGTCGAATAGCGGATTCAAACCCACGAGTTTCGATGTTACCACACCAATCGATCGATCGTCGATCGATGGCATCGATAGATGGTGGAATGGATTAGTCGACGTCGATAGATAGTTTCTACCACACGGATCGATTAATGGTAGAATGGAACAGTCAACGTTCATCGACCTACTTGATTATTCGAATAAATTTTGAAAGATACTGATGATGAGCCCACAATCACATCGATTAATTGTCAATCGACGTCGATCGACGATTGAACAACGTTTTATCGAGCAGTAGCCATCGATCAGCTAAAGCTACCACACCAATCGATCGACCTCGATCAATGGCGTCGATCGACGATCGATCGATTGATGTATTAACAGCCTTTGCGATCCGCACCCTACCATGAGGCTACTGTTACGTAAATGATGTCACTTTATAAATTTTTTTAAGAGCGTAATATTATAATACTTTTATTAGTTTTGGAATCCGCTCTATTACTAAAGATTTCAAGATAGCGGTTAGCCACCGTAGAGTCTATATCACCTGAGGATGCCTCGTGTAGAGGCGAAACACGTCTCGTATTGTCGTCAGTGGTGTGTCTTTCCTAGTGTAGTGGTGTTGGGAGTAGTGATGCTGGGATTAATGGTGACGGGGATAGTGCACGCAATTGAGGGAGGGCGGGAGGTGCTCTTCATACTAGGTAAGACACATCATTTTATTTTATCGAGCGGATGTACGCAAAGTAATTTTTTGTCAACTTTAATACAATGGACTTCCGCGAAGTAACGCCTGATTCTATTAAGTGTCAAATCCTTTCCCTTTTTACTAGTAATGAAGCACGTGTCAGGTCTCAAGGTTACAAATCATCTGCGTTTTAATTTTAAAGAGACTAAACGAGTGACGTTTAGACTATACAAAAGAATTCCTCTGTTTTCTTCTTGGATAATGACACGAAAGCAGATTTTATCGCAAAAATCTGAGATTTCCACTACACTGTACTGACTCATCACGATATCTCTGGAACCATAACGCCTAGAGACTTGAAATTCAGTTGGAATACTCCTTTTGCCGAGTGGAGTTCAGCTAAGAACGGAATTTACGAAATTCCACCCGCAAGTGGGGTTGCGGGGGTGTTAATAAAAAAAGTCACATTTTCAAACTATAGCACTTTAAAAAGAGGTACGTTTTTTGTGTTTTGATTGGGGTCCCTGGATGATTTAGATTCACAATCGCACCCGGAAGGTGGCGCTTTTGTCAGGATACAAAAATCACCCGTGCGAAGCCGGGCCGGCTCGCTAGTCTATACAAATAAATAAATTTGATGTGTCTGTTTGTAATATAAAAATTACAACGTTTTACTAAACGCATATGAAAGTATAAACGGTACTTATAACAAAAATACACTTTTTGAAATTTTCGTATGTCTGTCTATTTGTTCCGGCTAATCTCCGAAACGGCTGGACCGATTTTGACGGGACTTCCACTGGCACATAGCTGATGTCATACGGGAGTAACTTAGGCTACTTTTATTATAGAAAAATAATTAGGTTTCCTTGCAAAAAAAATTAAAACCCTAATTTGCACGCGGGCGAAGTCGCGGGGAACAGCTAGTTTACTATAAAATCCTCATCTGCCACTACCATGTTCTTATGTTTTCCTATTATTATAGATAATATGAAAACTTGTTGCAGCCTCAGGCCAACAAAGAAAGATAGATAGAACACCACGTATATTAACAGCCCATAAAATTCTACTGCAGCTGACGCACACATACCTATACACTTAAAACGATGTTGATATTTGCAAATAATTTTAGTTGCATATGTGTTTTTTTTTTAATGTACACAACAAAACACAGAAACAGTCATACAGTGAGTTCGTACAAAGGCAGTAGACCCATAAAGAAAAATATAAATATATTTTTCTTTATGGGTCTACTGCCAAAGTAAAAGGCAAACTTAGTGCGTACATTATTAATGAATAAATAATATACATAATATTATATAATGGATATATATATATATATATATATATATATACTCGTATATATATAAGCTAGTACTAATATGAGATAATAATTCATATATATCAATTAAAAAGATGTATTTTTTTTCTTTTACACGTTTTGCAGCAGTGCAAGCAATTCTATTTGGTGACAAAAGTAAGTAAGAGGGTAATGCAGACGGACTCCCAGGCAGAAAAGTACTCGAAGAAATTCAAAATTTTGTCTGGAATACAATTATAATGATTTCTTATATTTACGCGAACACTACGTATTGAATAAAACTATTTTGCGGATTCTATGGCGTTTAATTTTACTTATTTTTAATTCCCGACATTTCAAAGTATGCTCCAAAGCACAAACTCTAAACTACTCCGGCTTACCTTTGACATCGGGACATCAAATCACCTCAGTCCCCCCGTGACCATGGTTGCTGCAAATCAAACGAGACGTCGGAAATTAAAAATAAGTAAAATTCAATGGTATTACAATTTTCAAGATGATAAATTCTGCTTGGTATTAAGAAAGCAGGTGTTATCCGAATATAAAATCTGTTTGACCGCGTGTCCATCCATCAATACTCGTTGGCGAGATCGTGACGAGTCAGCCAAGGGTCATTGTTGGGCGCCGATTGATTTATCTGCTCCAAATGATTTAGACCTTACACCATGATTTATGGTCCCTTATTCGATTGTCGGTGATTGATTATGTCTTTTAGAGGAATTATGCTTTGTTGTTTTAATGCGTTTGATTAATATGATATATCTTATAGCGCTAATTTTTCATGTTTCAATTTACTATTTTAAATATTCAAAGTAAAAATAATGAAAACAAGTGATTTTTATTTTAAATTTTTTTATCCGATTCAGAGCTATTTTCAAAATTTCAAGTCTCTAGTTCATCGGGTAGTGTTCGAAATTTGATTTGCAAGATTCCACCCAGAACTACAGACAGACAAACAAGAAAGTGACTTAATAAAAACGTAATTTAAGTAAAAAGTATAGTTATAGCCTTTAGCTATGGAAGGAAAAGGGACGATCTCCCACCGGTCGAGATGTTCAGCCAGAGCCGTTCTATAATATAACCCAGTACTTTGGAACTTTGATGGCGTGATTTAGACTTCGGTCTATTTCGCCTGTGGTGCGACGACAATGCCGCCATATGATGTACACGTCCCACTGCTGGGAACCGGCCTCTCCTCTTTTCTGAGAGGGTTTTCAGAGCAATTAATCGCCTACGCTACTTCAGTGCGTGTTGGCAGACGACATCTTTGTACAGCAAATTCTTAGAATCTGAGCTGCTATAGCTTCTTAAATGATTACGAACGGACAAATATATATGAACACACACACACACGCGCGCACACACACACACACACACACACACACACACACACACACACACACACACACACACACACACACACACACACACACACACACACACACACACACACACACACCAAAAATGTGTTCCTTCTTTTGTGTTCCGCTTTATTCGAGTAAAAAGATTATAATTGTGATTTTTGTTTACAGGCCTGTTTGCCGAAACTGCGTGGTATCACCAACCGGCTCGTCACCGCCTCCACTACATGAACAGACATCATCACCACCGCCCCCTGCACCATCGTCACCGGTCACATCACCGCGTCTTCCCCCTTCGCTGCCCTCACCACAACCAAGTCACAGCGGCTCATCTGTACCGAGCCAGTCCAATTCGCCGCATCCCTACTCTTACCCAAATTTCAGACGGAGTCAACCGCCTCCGGGTCAAAATTTTCTAGAGTACAACCTTCTACACAGTCACAGTGTATCCCAACTTAACCAACCGAGTCACAGTTACCATTCTCCACAATCCCCTCAGTCAGCCATGTCTCTATCGCCTCATCCTGTCCCTCAAGGCAAGCTCAGGGGATTGTTGGAACACGCCGAACGACTGATGAAACCAGGCGATCCACACCGGCACTCACAGAGTGACGATGACTCAGGGTGTGCGCTGGAAGAGTACACGTGGGTTCCGCCGGGACTACGACCTGAACAGGTAAGGCAAAGCTAAAGGAACTCCATTATTTTTAGAATAGAATAGAATGGCGAACGAGGAATGACTATGCTCTCACAGAATACCAGTGTAAAAGAGCAGCTTAGTGCTGCTGTATTTCGTACGGATTAGTGTAGAGAACCGGATACCTTTTTACTGGAAATGAGGCAACTTAGACCTCAGGGGTGACAAGTCATCAGTATTATAATTTTTAATTTAGGAGAAATTCAAATGTCTGTGCGTAACAGCATTCAGTTACCACCAGGTGGACTGTGTGTTCATTTTAGACACTTCTTCTATAAAACAATATTTTATTTCAACCACCGTCCGAAAACTACACAAGTCGTCTGAGCTGGGATTTAAAATGTACATCTGTATATAATACACATTCTGTATAGTGACTAATGTATGGCGGGACTGTCATATATTGTAAAATAGAGAGAAAAATCCGAAAGTCGAGCCTCCTGAGCAAACGCTCAGGAGGCTCGACTTTAATTTTCTTTTTTTTTTAATTTTTTTTCTTTTCTTAACTTTAATTTTCGAAAATTAAATGAAACCATTTAATTTTGATGAAGTAAAAAAATTGTATTCCTGACTTTTAAAATATATTATTTACGTGTTTTAAATTTAGCGCTCTTTTATTTTAACAGGTAGTGTCACCTACAGGGAAAAAATTAATCATGTTTACCAAAATCAATCGATTACACAAAGTATAAAATCGATATAGGCTGTACATTACTGGTACATTTGTCTTTTGTCTATGAATGGCTAAAAATATGAATGCGCTTTTAAATTTTTAATTGCAATAAAACATATAAAAGTTGAATTTAATTTTATTAACAAACTACGCGTAGGTACTATTGTTAGTAAATGAGGAACCATTTGATCTAATTCTGATGTTAATAAAAAACCCAGTATCGATACATCTATTTTTTTCGGAGTTATCCTGACCACCTACAAAATCAACATACGGACGTCCACGTAAAATTTTTTTCAAACCATTTGTTTTCAAAGTGGCAATATAAAATTATTTTTTAGAATAATTTTATATTGCTACTTTGAAATATAAGATATAAGATGGATTAATTAGTGTTTTCTTGATATACGGCTACTCATATTATAGTATAAGTTCAATATGGTTGTGATAGAGACATTTTAAGAACACAAAAGTGCTTGACCTTGACGTGTCGAGAGGAAAGCACTACCTATAGTGTGCAATATATTTTATAGGATAGGGTGACAAACCAGCAAACAATCCACTTGATGGTAAGTGTGCTGTGTACCCATAGACATCTACATCTATCCTCGTTTGCAAATCTAAATGCAGATGCGTTGTCACCCGTGAGGACTAAAATGGAATGCCTCTTTCCCAGTAAAATGGGTCTCCGGTTCTCTACACTCACTATACGAAACACAGCAGTGTTAATCTGCTATTTGACGCTGGCATTCTGTGAGAGTGTGGTCCTTCCCCGGTCGAGCCGACACATTCTATCTACAACTATATACTACTAATATAGCTGCAGCATGGCTCTACCACGTATAATTCTTGGTCTTTCAATATCTTAAATATAAATAACGCCACATTAATAGACCTAGGCTAAGCGAGGGTCGCTAGTATTAGTTTTACTAGTATCACATTAGATTAATTATACAGGACATATTATGCAACTTAATTGGTGGGTAAAGGGACTGTCATATATTATAATTATTTATTTTATTATAAATATTAATTAAATTAAATACTATAGTATCAAAGTCCCTAAATTAAAAGTAAAAAATGTTAACATTTTGTTATTGAGGTTTTTTTTAAAAAGTAATCGTTGAACAACGAACAAACATAATATCCCTTCTTTCTTTGTATTTTTAACAGAGCCCAAATTTCCGCAGCACTTCGATTTATGATATGTACTATTGTTGAATATACTGCGATATACGTTTGAGACAACTACACTGGTCTTCTTAAACCCTTTGTTTTCACCACAAAGCTATTGTTCCGAAAGTCTACTTGCTTTCGCTTCGTTCCGTTTCTCTGCTACCAAACTATTCACGATGCCTATGCTCTTTGAGCAATACTTTACTCTGTACCGTCGTTATTAATATTCGCAACGAACAATACTTTTGTAGTAAGTTTTTATATCAATGGTACTTTTGTACTTTTTGCTATTCGCGATTTGAAAAGAACAAGCTGTCAATGATAAGGGAGTCTGTACTGATTTAAGAAAGTAATGAACTTAAAGGAAACATTTAAATGATGATTATAGTACGTGAGGGTAGTATGGTCATCCGGTTAATATGGTCACTTTCTTATAACTCCAAAACTACAGCATTGTTTGTATAGATGGTTTTGTGATACGATAGTTCTTGATCAATCAATCAATTAATACAGGGTCTAAAGGGTGCTGCTTTATTGACGCCATTTTGACAGTTAATACTATAGTAAATATTTTCGTCGATTTTAGTATAGCGTAGTGTAGTTAATTTTTTTAAATTGATTGTGTGTGTGTGAAATGTTCCCAATTATTTCCGAAGCTTGTTTGCAACTTTTTTCTTAATATATTAGTTATAGTATACGACTTTGTATTTTTGTCTCTGTCTTCGTCCTTGTGTTGGTTTTATAAGGCTTCAAAGCTTAAGGTACCTTATTACCCTCGCGTACCTTATATCATTTTTTATATTGATTAAAGGTTACAAACGAGCACACAGTCTACTTGATCGTAAGTGGTTGCTGTGGTCCATAGAAAAATACATTTATCCTCGATTAAGAATCAAAATACAGATGCATTGTCACCCCTGAGTACTAAGACGGAATGATGCCTCGTTTTCAATCAAATCGTTCTCCGGTTCTTAATTATTAAGCTGCTATTTAACACTGGTGTTCTGTGAGAGCGTGGTCCTTCCCAGGTCGAGCCGATCCATTCGTGGTACCACCATAATATAGCTGCAGCATCGCTCCACTATGTTAATCATCATCATCAACATCAACAACAAAATCCACTACTGAATATGGATATACACATATACTACCCTATATCGGAAGGAAGGATGTACCTCAATCGTTAAGTAGGAGCATCAGTACTAGGGTCATAGTACCAGATGTTAACGTTGCCGCATGTAGCCGGCCTGGGTACTTGTGGGAAGTCAGATAGTGTCAAAAAGGCACTACATATGTCTGACAAACCAGACCTGGGTACTTGGCATTCAAAAATGCTGTGTTAGTTCCTACGTCATTGTATGATAGTTAAAGTTAGTTGGCAGAAGAAGCATGGGAGTAAAATTAATGAATGTAGAATTGCGGTCATTAAGATGTGTTAGGTGCGACTTTATAGGATGAAAAATTGTGTGATAAATGAGGCACGGTTTTCAAAAAGATGTTGTGATTAGGAATGCTTCGGTGGTCTTGTACACATAGAAAGAATTAATGAAATAATACGAGTATTGACAAAGCAAAATGCTGTAAAAGTGAGGAACGGAGATCTTTTTTCAAAATTTACGGTAGTCTTATTTCTAAATGTAAGCACAATCACATAAAGGTGCATGCACAGCATGCTATGTATTTACAACTTCGTACCATTCACTGAAACTAAAGATTTCTTATTAAGGCCGTTTGTTACTTTTGTTTTATAAAAAAATACTAGAAACTACGTTTTTATCATTACGTGCTTCAGACATAAACAAATTATAAAAAGATAATCTTACATAATCTTTATCACTTCGACACACGTATTGCTGTTAAACGTTTAAGAATAATTTCCCCATCCCGCTCTCTCATCTAATCACGATTTGCATCTGTTATTATTTATACATTACCTATTCTGTAGAAATCATTTAGAAATGAACAAAACTATAATACTAGCGAACTTCGCTTAGCTCAGGTCTATTAATTTGGCGTTATTTATATTTAAGATATTGAAAGACCGTTTATTTTATACATTTTTCGTTGATTATCAAAAAAATATTTTAGATTTTCGGACAGAATAGAGCCTACATCTGTCCTGGCATTACCCTCTATCTATTTGTTAAGTTTCATCAGCATCGGTGCAGCATTTCGAAGATTAGCCCAGACAGATAGACAGACAAAACTTTTAACAATGGTTATTTATATATTAATATTGTACAAATTTTGTTTATATACTAGCTGTTCCCTGCAACTTCGCCCGCGTGGAATTCGTTACGATTGGATTTCATAGGTTTTAATTTTTTTGCGTGGAACCCTAATTCTTTTACTAAAACAACATATATAACATCAGCTACTAGCCAGTGAAAATCCCGACAAAATCGGTCCAGCCGTTTCGGAGATTATCAGAAACAAAAAGACAGACAGACAAAATAATTAAAAATTGTTTTTTGTTAAAAGTACCGTAAATACTTTCATATGCATTTAGTAAAAAGCTGTTATTTTGACATTACAAACAGACATTTTATTTATTTGTATCTATGTATAGATATCTATAGGTTCATAGATTAGAGATTGAACAAATGGCAAGTTTTGATACCCAAAGCTATAAATAAAAATTACAAAATTTTTAAAATTAATCACTATTGTATTTTTATTTAAATAAGAGTGATAATGTATTTATATCTAAAACTAAGTGTAGCCGTTTGACTTTAGGTTTAGGTGCTGCCGGGATGGTCGAAATTAAATAATTCATTTTTTTGAGACTAAAGACGAAATAGTTTATTGATAATGAACATTATGTGGAGTAGTATTTAAACTACGAACATAACTAAAACTCATCTTAAGTTTATTAACTTCCTTCTGCGTAGCATTGAAAGGAAGTTAATGGTTTTACTGGCAGTCTGTTAGTCTGTATGCCGACACGATAACTTCCGTTCCACTGAACCGATTGACTTTCAATTTAGTATGTGGATACCTTGAGGTAATAGCTCGGTCGAGTTTGAATTTGGGTCCTGTAGGTCAAAGGGCACCAGAGATATGGGATTCACGCAGAAGGAAGTTGCTTTTCTTGAATTTACATTCAACTCGTTTTTATATTTAAACTAGC